AGCTTGCAGTAAGCTGAGATTGCGCCACTGCACTCCAGCCTGGGCAACAGAGCGAGACTCCGTCTCAAAAAAAAAAAAAAAAAAAAAGTCTTTGCAAGGGGATCACACATTATTGAGATTTGCTTTCTCCATCTCCCCTGTTAAGGATTCCATGAAGGCGCAGTTGCCTTCCTTTCTTTGCTCTGCCGTGTTTGGTGAATTAGTTACAGGGTGAGCATAGATGAGCAGGAGTCTTCATTGCAGTCCAGAAGGACTCCTCATCCTGTCCCTCTGCCCCTTAGGCAGCACGCTGGCTCTTCTCCTGAACTTCCTCGCCTGCCTGGCCAGCTTCTGTGTGGAAACCAACAATGGCGCAGGCTTTGGGCTTTCTATCCTCTGGGTCCTCCTTTTCACGCCCTGCTCCTTTGTCTGCTGGTACCGCCCCATGTATAAGGCTTTCCGGTAAGTGTGTTAGTGGTGGGAGAATGATGGAGACCTGGGATGGGCCCCACATCTGCCCATCCTTCATTTCTAATTCTCCCACCCTCCCCATTTTTTTTCTCTTTGTAGGAGTGACAGTTCATTCAATTTCTTCGTTTTCTTCTTCATTTTCTTCGTCCAGGATGTGCTCTTTGTCCTCCAGGCCATTGGTATCCCAGGTTGGGGATTCAGGTTTGTGAGGCTGTCATCCACCCTCACCTTTCCCTCTAGACCAAGCCAGCACTGGGTGCTGAGATAGGAGTTGTTCAGAAAAAGGAAATGTGGTTTTAATCCTTGGGAGGTACTAGTTTAATGGGATATAAGACATACTTCCAGGATAGAGTGCAGACAGCACTCTTGACTCATGTAGATTGAAGGGAAGAATGCTGCATTTGGCTAATCCGAGGTGGCCTCCTGGAGGAGACACAGAACCATAGTTGAAAGGAGGAAGAAGAATCCCCAGACGAGTGCCTGGAGAAGAGCTTGGAGAGCTCAGGGCTAATGGTTCAGAAACTGGAATTAAACTATGAAGAGAGTAGATATAGTTTGGGATTGTGGTGCTTGGAATACTGCCAGATTGACAGGGGAGCCACTACTGATGGGAAGGGTAGGAACAGGGGATGTTGGTGGCATAACCAGTGGAGAAGCTGAGGAGCCCCACTTCACTGGCACCTCCTTCCCCTCCTTACAGTGGCTGGATCTCCGCTCTGGTGGTGCTGAAGGCCAACACAGCAGTAGCCGTGCTCATGCTGCTGGTCGCCCTGCTCTTCACTGGCATTGCTGTGCTAGGAATTGTCATGCTGAAACGGGTGAGGGCTGTGTTGAAGGTGGGGCTGGGAGGGTGAGATCATGGGTCCCCAGGGGCCTGGGTGGAACATTCAGGAGCAGCCAGCACAGGTCAGGCTGCTGGGTGGTTCTCAGCTAATGGACCTCTGGGGTGTGTGTTTCTGTGTGTGAGTGTGTATGCTGGGCAGCAGGCTGCTGAGTGGTAGTGATGCTGTTAGGCTGGGGTGGGGAACCAGTGGCTGGAATGTGCTGCAATGTCTTTGTCCTCTACTTGCAGATCCACTCCTTATACCGCCGCACAGGTGCCAGCTTTCAGAAGGCCCAGCAAGAATTTGCTGCTGGTGTCTTCTCCAACCCTGCGGTGCGAACCGCAGCTGCCAATGCAGCCGCTGGGGCTGCTGAAAATGCCTTCCGGGCCCCATGACCCCTGACTGGGATGCCCTCGCCCTGCCACTTGAGGGAGCTGACTTAGCTCCCGTCCCTAAGGTCTCTGGGACTTGGAGAGACATCAGTACCTGATGGCTCCTCCGTAGTGCTCCCAATCCTATGGCCATGACTGCTGAACCTGACAGGCGTGTGGAGAGTCCACTGTGACCTAGTCCCCCCCATCAGGCCACACTGCTGCCACCTCTCACACGCCCCAACCCAGCTTCTCTTTGCTGTGCCACAGCTGTTGCTTCGGTTATTTAAATAAAAAGAAAGTGGAACTGGAACTGACATCCCCGTTTCCTGAATCTTCATTGGGAATTAGGCCTTATGAAAGAGGAGAGTGTGGAGTGAGGTGGGAAGGTCGGACCCGGCTTTAGTGTAAACTGGGAGATAGGAGGGGCAGGGCGGTGGAGCCCCGGTGGCTAGCGCAGGAAGGAGGTGGGAAGTCCACGGAAACGCGAAACCGGGAGACGCCAGGGAGCCCTGCTCCCCACCCCTCTCCATTAATGACGGGGAAGAGCCACCGCCTCTGCTGGGAATGCCAAGGAATACGCGGGCCTGGAGCCTGAAAAGCTGGGTGGGGCTCAAGTGGACGCCCAAAGGATCATTAGCAGCCTAGCCAGGGTCCAGAGAGAGGAAGCGACCGGTGGAGGCAGATCCAACTGCCTAGCCCTGCCGCGGGATCCCCCCAACCCCGACCCCTGACAGGGTCTCAGTCCCGAACTACAACTCCCGGGGTGCACCGCGCCGGCCCTCGCCGCCACGCCCCTCCATCCCGCACCATCCCCATTCCCATCCCCCTCTAGTCCCCGACCTGCGGCAGCCGGAGCTCAGGGAGCGGAGCGTGGTGGGGAGGCGAGCGGGACAAGCGACACAGGAGACAGCGGCGCCGCGGCCTCTCCCCACCAGACGGCCCCGGATCCCACTGGACACCCTGAGGGCACACCGACCCCTCCCCTCTTCTCTAGACTTCTTTCCATCCTTCCCACTTTTACCCTCCCCATCCCTCCCTGGGCTCTGAGCCGCCGCCCCCTCCTCACTCCTGGACTGGCCCTTCTCGGTGCCCCTGTTTCCTAGGGAGATGCGATGAGCCGGTGCCCCCGCGTCCTCATCGTCGCCCCGGGCACGGTGCCCGTCCAGTGCCCGTGGTGGGGAGGGAGCACTCCGCGGTCCCTCCGTGACGCCCCTCCCTTGGCTTCCCCCACAGCTGGCGTCCCTCGGCCATGCCCCAGGGGACCCAGCCAGGGGGTGGGCTGTAGAGCGAGGGAGGTGGAGAGGAGAAAGGACGGGGCCTTGGGCACCTCTGAGATGCTCCCAAGTGCCAGGGAGGGCCGAGCGAGGCGCAGGCAACCGGGCAGCAGGCATGATGCCCTCGCCTAGTGACTCCAGCCGCTCGCTGACCAGCCGGCCCAGCACCAGGGGCCTTACCCACCTCCGCCTCCACCGACCCTGGCTGCAGGCCCTGCTTACGCTGGGGCTGGTCCAGGTGCTCCTGGGCATCCTGGTGGTCACCTTCAGCATGGTGGCCTCTTCCGTCACCACCACTGAGAGCATCAAGAGGTCCTGCCCGTCTTGGGCTGGGTTCTCGGTGAGTTGGGTGCACAGTTGTTGGGTGCACAGTTGTTGGGTGGGGGAGGCTCCTCGGGCCCCACCCTCCACACCAGCTGCAAGTCCACATCCTCGCCTCTCCTCCCTCTCCTGGTCCTCTGCCTCCTTACAGGGCTGGGTGCATCCTGTGGTGAGGGGCTCACTCAGGAGCCTCCCCTGCCAGGCTGAGCCTGTGCCCACTCTGTCCCCAGCTGGCGTTCTCCGGGGTGGTTGGCATTGTGTCCTGGAAGCGGCCATTCACTCTAGTGGTAGGTGCCAGGGTCCAGTGCCCACTGGGAGGCAGGTGCCCAGCACCCAAGGGGAAGCCCATTTATGCCCTCAAGAAGGGAACTGGCTCCCCAGTTGGTGCCAGCCGGGTGGGCACGAAATGTCTGTGAAGGAGGGGGACTCTGTCCGTGGCAGAGTAGTAGTCATGAGGGTCCCAGCCCTGAGTCTGCACCCTGTTTTCCCCAGATCTCCTTCTTCTCCTTGCTTTCGGTGCTCTGTGTCATGCTTAGCATGGCTGGCTCTGTACTGTCCTGTAAGAATGCTCAACTGGCCCGAGACTTCCAACAGTGCTCTCTGGTGAGATTTGAGGAGGGAGAGCTGGAAAGAACTGGCCTGGGGAGGTGTGCAGGACACCTGAGTTTGTCCTGACTCAGGCTGCCTCACCCTCCCTGCTCCACTCAGGAAGGAAAGGTCTGTGTGTGCTGTCCCTCTGTTCCCCTCCTCCGGCCCTGTCCAGAGTCGGGGCAGGAACTGAAAGTTGCCCCTAACTCCACCTGTGATGAAGCCCGAGGGGCCCTCAAGGTGAGCTTGTACCCCACAAACATCCTCCTGGTTCTCACTCTTGCCTCCCTTCCTGGGGTACTCACAGGCCCATAATGTATGGGACTTAGCCCTCTCCTGATTCCTCTCCTCCTTTCCCTTCCCCAGAACCTGCTCTTCAGCGTCTGTGGGCTCACCATTTGTGCCGCTATAATCTGTACCCTCTCTGCTATTGTCTGCTGCATCCAAATCTTCTCCCTGGACCTCGTGCATACGGTGAGAGGGGAGCGGGGGCCAGGGCCACGCAGGTATGGTAGGGGCAGGGGTGTGTGTGCTGAGACTTGCCTGAGGGAACAATGGCTACAGATCTGGCTTTTGAGCACCAGGGGCTATGGGTTATCTATTATCCTCATCTATTGGAGGAATGGATGTTTAATGGGGAGGTTGAGAAGGGGAGATGGCAGGGAGTGACTTAAGTATGTGATGCCCATCTGGGACCAGGAGAGGGGGCTTTAGAGAATGGGACTGGATGGTGGGGTAGAGTCAAGAAAGTCCTAGGCTGGACACGGTGGCTCATTCCTGTAATCCCAGCACTTTGAGAGGCCGAGGCAGGCAGATCACCTGAGGCCAGGAGTTCAAGACCCGCCTGAGCAACATGGCGAAACCCTGTCTCTATTAAAAACACAAAAATTGGGCCGGGCGTGGTGGCTCACGCCTATAACCCCAGCACTTTGGGAGGCTGAGGCAGGCGGATCACCTGAGATCAGGAGAATGAGACTATCTTGGCTAACATGGTGAAACCCCGTCTCTATTAAAAACACAAAAAATTAGCCAGGCATGGTGGCACGCACCTGTAGTCCCAGCTACTCGGGAGGCTGAGGCAGGAGAATGGCATGAACATGGGAGGCGGAGCTTGCAGTGAGCTGAGATAGTGCCACTGCACTCCAGCCTGGGTGACAGAGCGAGACTCCGTCTCAAAAAACAAACAAACAAAATATAAAAATTAGCCAAGTGTGGTGGCAGGTGCCTGTAATCCCAGCTACTTGGGAGACTGAGGCAGGAAAATTGCTTGAACCTGGGAGGCAGAGGCTGGAGTGAGCTGAGAGGCAGGAGGATCACCAGATATCAGGAGTTTGACACCAGCCTGGCCAACATGGCGAAACCTTGTCTCTACTAAAAATACAAAAATGAGCTGGGCGTGGTGGCTGGCGCCTGTAATCCCAGCTATTCGGAAGACTGAGACTGGAGAATTGCTTGAACCTGGGAGGCGGAGGTTGCAGTGAGCTGAGATCGAGCCATTGTACTCCAGCCTGGACGACAAGAGCGAAACTTCGTCTCAAAATAATAATAACAATAATTAGCTGGGCATGGTTGCATACCCTTATAATTCCAGTTACTCGGGAGGCTGAGGCACAGGAATCGCTTGAGCCTGGGAGGTAGGGGTTGCAGTGAGCTGAGATCATGCCACTGCACTCCAGCAACAGAGTCAGACTTTGTCTCAAAAATAAAAAAAAGAAGGTCCTAGATGGAGGTGAGGCTAAAGGGTGGACATTCCTGTGAAGACACAGTGGGTGAAGCTTCTGGATGGAGGTGGGGCCATAAAGAAGAGGAATTTGTGGGTGGGCAAGGCCAGAGCTAGAGGTACAGGGTGAGTGTGGGGTTAAGGAGAGCTGATTTGGGGTGAGGGAGGAGCCAGAACTAGAGCTTCTCTCAGGGGATAGGGCCAGAAAAAATAATGTAGATGAGAGAGGAGTTTGGGGGCCTAGAAGGAGCTATATTCCTAGCATCCAGACTTGCTGACCTGCTTGCTTCCCCAGCAGCTGACCCCTGAGCGGTCAGTCTCAGGCCCACTGGGACCTCTGGGCTGCACGTCTCCGCCCCCAGCCCCTCTCCTACACACCATGCTGGACCTGGAGGAATTTGTCCCGCCTGTGCCTCCACCACCCTACTATCCCCCAGAGTACACTTGCAGCTCAGAAACAGATGCACAGAGGTAAGGCCTGGTGGGGTCTTGCTGGGAGAGCTAAGGAAGGGGACTGGGGCTGGGCCTGGATTGCTGGAGAGAGGGATCTTTGTGGAGTGGGAGTTATTTTCCTACATTGACCCTCTTCCTTATCTGCCAGCATCACGTATAATGGCTCCATGGACAGCCCAGTGCCCTTGTACCCTACCGACTGCCCCCCTTCTTATGAGGCAGTCATGGGACTACGAGGAGACAGCCAGGTGAGAGCACAGCACGGCTTGGGGTGGGCTGCGGAGCTGGGGTCTAGCCTAGAAAGCTGAACAGGCTGTAGCCTCTGGATACAGATAGTAACAGTGGTCAAGGTCTTTACAGCACCAGCATGCCCACTGTCGCCTTTGATCTTCCCTAGAGCCTGGTGAGGTGGGTGGGTTAGAAGCTATCATTTCTGCCATACAGACGCGGAAACTGAGGCTGCACAATTAAGTGACTTATACAAAGTGACAAGGCTAGTCTGGAACCTAAGTTTCCAGAGCTGTGTCTAGCACGTGGGGGTGTTCAGTGTGTAGGGTTGAACCCTTGATCCTGTGTCTTCTGCAGGCCACTCTCTTTGACCCTCAGCTTCACGATGGCTCCTGCATCTGTGAGCGAGTGGCCTCCATTGTAGACGGTGAGCAGGGCGTAAGAAGGGGTGGACAAGGGTAGTGCTGCCAGGGATAGCTGGGGTGGGTAGGGACAATAGAAGAGGAAAACAAGGCGGAGTTGGTGGTTTGGGGACAGAGGAGGGCTGTGGCAACTTGGAACCCTGGACTTATTTGTCTCCCGTGAGATAAAGCTGGAGGTACAGTGGCCCCTAGAGGCTGGGCTTGGGAAAACAGCAACTGCCTGGGCAGGGCCCAGCCAGGCTGGTGCTACACAGCGCCCCCTGCCGCCCACAGTGTCCATGGACAGCGGGTCTCTGGTGCTGTCAGCC